CACATACCGATAGGAACCAAACTGACGCCTCTCTTGTATTTAAACCATATGGCTCGTCTAGCTCTGTCGAGTGGTGGGGGATGTGATAATGTCCACATTTTCGTTTGTATGATTGCGTTCAACACTCATGAAAGCAGTGACACGTACACGTGCGGGCGAGCGTGTGTACGTACACGTGCGTGTGTGCGTGTGCACGTGTGCACGTACACGTGCGTGCGTGCGTGCGTGTGCACGTGTGCGTGCGTGTGTGTGCACGTACACGTGCGCGTGTGCACGTACACGTGCGCGTGTGCACGTACACGTGCGTGTGTGCGTGTGCACGTACACGTCTGAACATCTTAGTGGCAATAATTATTTGTAGGCCTAATTGTCACACTGACTTCTCACCCTGACCTGTGTACCAATCGTAGCTTAGATCATCAACATGATCAAGTGTGTTTCCTTTTTAGTGCCATTAAACACGTTAAAGGACTTGTCAAGTTATATCTTGTGTTGCAATTCTCACCGGTGTTTTAATACACTATAGTATAACCTAACCGCAGGTGTGTACGCTCTCTGAAAAGACATGAAGTGTTTTAAATCCTAAATTGTAGGGTTGAGTCTAGGGTTGAGATAGTGTCATCAGACAACGGAATATAGCCCACAGTATGCCTCAGATTGCAGGAAAATGCCTTAAATATGTCAAAATATTCTGGGGGAGCATGCCCCTTGACCCCTCCCTAGCGCCCGGCGCAGCCAAGGTACATTTCCATCCATGACTTGTATATGGACTATGGAACTTGGCCAAGAGTCATGATTCTTCGACATATATATATGTCCTCTACTATAGGTTACTGTCGGTGAGCACAATATGATATACATATATAGCTGCTGCCCAAGGTTGTGTCACGAACTCGTGGTTGCTCTAGCTGTCCTGGTTGAAGGATGATTATATGCTAGTTCAGCACGAGTTCAGATACAGAGAAACGCTTAGACAGGCTTCAGTGTTTTACAGTTTTACGCTTTTTACAGTGATACTCAGCCGTGGAAATTAACTGCTGTAGGTCCTATTTTGATTTTGGTAATCTCTCGTCGTAGAAAGATTCTACACGTTTAAAAAAAATTCATACGTAGGCAATTATATACGCAGTTCTCATGTGAACAATGTGTCAACATGCAGGTATCGTGTACGTTCCAGCACCCTGTGAATTATCGACTGTCTGAAGGCACAGTGAGATCCGGGGCCGTTCGGTGCAAACCCTATTACTTTGTGTGCGATACATATGGTGACCGCAAATAGAGATGTGTTGGGAAAGATTATACCACGTGGAGCGTACTAAACGACTGGCTAAAGCTGTTACTATGTGCCCGATTTAGATTCAATGTGCGAATATAGTCACAGGCATAAGGCGTCACTAAACCTGGTATGGGTTGTGATGAAAATACTGAGCATGTATGCAAATGCGAGTGAATGTGAAATATAATTTTGTACTCTGTCCTTGTATGAATGTACGAAAGCGGTCATTTTACAGTGGTTATACCGGCGGAATGTTGCCTGTCATATTAAATTATCATCATTCTTATCGTATAGATATAAAACTCAAGATTGTGTCGTGCATTATATATTTATGGTGCCAGGAGTGAATAAAAACAAATGTATTTTCGCCATTCCTGATAACACCAAGCGTCTAAGCCTATAACATATTTGGCCTACTTTTGCCTAGAATTGGTAAAAATAACTATTCTAATAATACCAATATTCGAATGAAATTAACCCTAAATACATGAAGGAAACCCACGTCGTGGACCGTCTCTTATTTATTTACCGCGTGTACTATACGTTTTGTACTGAGCATAAAGTCAGCAATCTTCGTATACTGTATATATATACTGTTATTGTATAGGCCTATACAGTCAACGGTAGGCCGATAAGGAGCCAAATTTACAACATTTATACTTCGTTGCAGGGCAAACTGCGAGCTGGTGAGCATTGATAGGCTTGACATAGAGCTGACCACGCTAAAGATCGTCCAGTGCGTCGAGACTCCAGATCTCCTCCTATAACAAGAAACGTAGCACAGCTCCCCGGGGGCATGGCTAGTTATGGCAGCGGCGAGCAAGGCGAGAATGCAGAGCCGCATGGCAGCCATTGCGTGTTCGATGACAATTTGGCGACTGCTGCCGAGAGCGGTCAGGCATGTAGCGACGACGTGTCGGGGAAAGTCGACATGGTGCCGACGCGCCTTTACCGTCGCCGCTGGTTCATCCTTGCTCTCTTCTGCTTCTATTCGATGACAAACGCCATCCAGTGGATCCAATACAGCGTCATCTCTAACGTAATCGTTGATTTCTACGGAACACGCACGACGGCCGTGGACTGGCTATCCATGATCTACATGCTCGCATACATTCCTCTAATCATACCTGCAACTTGGCTCCTCGATAAAAAGGGTAGCTATTACATTTATATCAAGAGCATGTATGAACCCTTTTACACTAACTCTTATATCCTCAAGTGTAATAATCATTGTATACACGTAGATATTACGCTATATATGCTCTTTACGTTATGTTCTGTATTGCGTATTGTGTGCGCGTGAATACATGTATAGTTTGCGTGCGTAAACTTGTACGTGTGTACGTATAATTTGTGTGCAATGGATGTGCTGCGGGAGCTGCGTGTACGTGTGTGCATTTATGCCTACAGGTGCCCGTGTGTGTGCGTGTGTGTGTGTGCGTGCGTGCGTGCGTGTGTGTGCGTGCGTATGTGTGTGTGTGTGCGCGCGCGCGCGTGCGTGTGTGTGTGTGTGTGTGTGACAGAGAGAGAGTGAGTGCCTATGAGAGCGTGTGTGCAACAAACTAAACAAAGCGTGGGTGCATGCGTGTTTCTTTTGCCATATTTATGGGTGTGGTCTATATTCTAACTAGACAAATGACCCTAACCAAAATACCATGGGAGGAAATGCCAGCATTAATTGGCAAAGTAGTAGCTGACTGATTTAAAATATATAACATATAGTCGGGAGTATGCAGGGGAAGATGAATAAGAGACAGTTGAAGTTAAAAACGGTGGCATAGAAAGTGTGGGAAGACAAACGGAGAGGAGGAGGGTGGTGCAAAAGGGAAGGGAAGCACATGAAGAAGCACATGGAGAAAGAAGAGAGGCAGAGAGGAGTGGGTTTGAAAAGGAGAGCTGTAGTAAGGAGAGTGGTGAGCGCTGTAAGAAAGATGCAACGTGGCTGGGAAGATGAATGGGAATGAGAGATAGGAACATAATTGAGCAAGTATTATGTTATATATGTCAGGCAGTTGTGTTAAAGCAAGGATAATGGGGCAAAAGGAGAAAAGATTGGCCAAGAGGTAAAGAAAAACATGCGGAAATGAGGTGGCTGGAAGAAGAAGAAGATGAAGAGGAGGAGGAGGAGGATGAGGAGGAGGATGAGTAGGATGGGATAAAGAAAAAAACAAAGGGTGATCGGAGAATTGTAAGAAATCGTACATGCCTTCCTGCCTCAATTCATTATCCATTATCTCGCCTTCCTCGTGTGATTCCCCATCTACTCTATCCCATTCAGGCATTCTTCCTATCCTCTCACTCTCCCACCTCTGCACTGTCATCTATAATCTTCCTAAATACATGCTGTTCTCTCTTCTTTAAATTCATTCACTCATGTTCCGTCCATCTTTTCTAATCCCCGCCTCATCTCAACATGTTTTTCTTCCTAATCTTGCCCTGTTTTGCTTGCCTGCCTGATTTTTTAGCCTCTGCTTTTTGTCCTGGATCCATTCTATGTCTCGACGTGTTAATAGGCGCGTTCACACTGGCGCGAATAAGCGGGATGCAAATCCCGGTTTTTGCATCGCGATCGAAATACCGAGATTATTACAAGTGTGAACGCAATAATACTCACTAATAATCGCGATCAGCATCGCGCTCCAAATCGCACTTTTGACTGCGATTATTTGGAATTAGCGCGATTATTTGCGTGTGTGAACGCTCGCGCAAATAATCCCGGTATTTTCTATCTCATCATTCCAAGCGAGTGAGCAGTGAGCATGCGCAGTGAGCATCATTCCGGCAGTGAGCATGCGCAGTTCGATTAATAGAATTATCCTGCTCGGCGATTAGCGCGATTATTTGCCTGTGTGAACAACGACACAATTATCTCGGTATTTCATCACGATTAGCATCACGGTTTTTCTTGTGTGTGAACACGCCTATTGTCATGTAAAAATTATCCTTGTAATTCTATCAGGTCTGCGTTTTGCGGTAACGCTTGGAGCTCTAGGCAACGCCACAGGTGCATGGCTCAAGTGTGCCTCCGTTGCTCCGGACCGCTTTTGGGTGACAATGCTAGGGCAGACCATCTGTGCAATCTCACAATTGTTTGTGCTTGGAATTCCTGCTAACCTAGCGGCAGTGTGGTTTGGGCCCAATGAGGTGTCCACGGCGTGTTCTATAGGGGTTTTTGGGAATCAGGTGAGTCGGTGTTATCACTGCTGTAGTTTGTTGACCAGAGTGTTGTACTGTATCTACAGACGAGTTCGTAACTGTAACTATGTTTGGTAACGTCATATGGTACCTATATGTACATTGGACAGTAGGTTATGTGTGTGTCAATGAATGATTCATTCTACCTTTTTTATGCGTTTCCACAAAAATAGGTTGGTATAGCACTGGGATTTGCACTTCCGCCTATAATTGTCCCCAACAATAAAGAGACGATTGCAACAAATCTCAGCTACATGTTTTATGGAATGGCTGCTATTACTACTGTGATTTTTTTCGCAATACTTCTAGGTATGTCTCTTATACCTTTTTATAGTCATATAAAAACCGATCAACTACACTGTCTTATAGTGTTCTTCTCATTTGCTCTACTACTATCACATTGAGCTCATACTACTATTATAAGTACACATGCTATAGGTTGTACTGTTTTTCAGTGTTTAAGGCTGCACCACCAGTACCTCCAAGTCATGCTCAGCTCAATCTCGAGGGTGCAAGGACATGGAATTATTTCGAGTCCTTAAAGAACCTGTTTTCACATATTGGATTCATCCTGCTCGTCATTGCGTATGGTATGATACATCTACATCTTATTTGAATTTGAATTTCAGTGGACGTAGCAACCTCACTCGAGCAATATTACAATTAAAATTTTGCACAAGGGAGAGATAGTGATCCGCTAGGGGACGGCTCTGATTGGCTAATTTTGTCTCTTATTTAATTTTATTATTTTTGGCTAATTTTGTTTTATTTTAGAATTAGGGTTAGGATTAGGGTTAGGGTTAGAGTTAGGATTAGGGTTAGGGTTAGGGATAACTGATTTCTGCAGCTACAATACACTAATAAAGCGCCATCTCGCGGATCACTATCTCTCCCCTGAGACCTACTATTACAATTATATTTGTTGCAATTGCATTTGATGTCTGCCATGTCGTGTTTCAGGCATCAACGCGGGTTCCTTCTATGCTATCTCAACACTGCTCAATCAAATAGTGCTCACCTGGTTCCCGGTATGTTTACCTGCACGCTTAGGCAAAGTGATTTACCTTGTAGTTGGACATAAGCAAACATTGCGGTTAATGATCCATATTTGTTTCTGGATCCACGCTTGTATTTATCTGCTATTGCCAATGGTCTGCTATGGTTGGCATATCTGCTATTGCCATGGCTATGCCATGGCCACACCATTGCATAGCCATTGCCATGGCCACTGCTATTGCCAATGTTCTGCTATGGTGGTGCAATTGTTGCCAATGCTATTGCCAATGGTCTATCTGCTATTGCCAATGGTCTGTATTGTAGCACAGGTCATGATTTGCATTTTCATGACAAAATTACATGTTAGGCCTATTCATTGTGCATTAAAAAAGCTCTGTTTCACACCTTCATGAATTCGCCTTCATGCTTTCACCTTCACCTTCATGAATCTCACCTTCATCAATCACTGTTCATGAATTAATTTATCATATAAAGCCCGGCGCACACGTGAGTAATTTTCCTCAAGTAAAATTATGCATGCGTCAAAATACTCACGCGAAATATTTTCAGCGTCCGCCGCACACGTGAGTAAAATTACTCAAGGTATAAGTGGTAATGCAGATCACGTGACTGTGCGCAGCCAATACTGGGCGCACAATGGTTCAAGCGCATGTGAGTACCAGTGTTGAGTAAATTTACGCAGCTAGCGTGCACACGTTGAGTATTTTGACGCATCAGTCAAACATTATCAAACATGTTTGATATTGAGTTTCTTGGTGGGATTACCAACGTGCCATGTTTGTAGTTGAAAACTTAGTAGAAATTCATTCTTTAAAATATTACGTAAGAGCGAATTTTTGTTTCATATCACGAGTTTATTGGTCATAACTTACTAATTATGTATGGACGAATTTATGTAACCAGGGTTATTGTAACTTGGGCTATTGGTGTATGTTCTTGTAATTAAAATGCAATTTCAGTCATTGTATATTGAAGTATCTATCAAAAGTAACATGTGAGACATTTATTATAACTTTGTTAATATTTTGTAATAATGCAGGACGCAGAGAGAAGTGTTGGAATGATAGGACTGACAATCGTACTGGCAGGCCTGTTAGGCTCAGTCATTAGTGGAATCATTCTGGATCGGACACGCAAATTCAGGTACTTATCTCATCTCTGACTGTGTTTTTCCTGCTTCGTTCTGTGTGAAAAGGCATAACAGACATTGTAGAGGTCCTATATTGGCTACTATATGCTTGATGGAATGGGTGCAGGAAAATATACTTGATGTGGTGTGCAATATAGATGTGTTATTGAAAAAGATGTATTTACTGAAAAGTTATGTTCGGTGTTGATCACAACTATAAAATTCCTAAAATTAGAGGCTTTAATATCAAGCGTTTAATATCAGGCTTTAAAATAGAGGCTTTATTATCTCTACCAATAGACCTAGCTCGATAATCATCTGTTTTCTTCATCATGCATACTATCGCTCATAGGGTCTATGAGGGTACTGCCGGAACGTAGCCTGGGTACGGTGCGGTATACCGGAACGTACCCTGGTAACTATTTGATATGGTTAGGGTTAGGGTTAGGGAGTAGGCGTAGACGACTCCCTAGACTCGTTAGTGGAGTAGGCGAGGTACGGTCCGACATATTAGATAGTACCAGGGTACGTTCTTGTATACCGGACCGTACCCAGGGTACGTTCCGGCAATACCTTGGGGGACATAGACCCTCTCAGCCATACTATCAGTAGTGAATAATAATAGAATATTTCTATTATTATTCACTCCGGATACTATTCATGGAAGTCCATCACTATATTTGTCCTGGCTGATGTAATTCCAGCCAGGGTGGTGAAGATAGTCTATTCTTAGCAGTTTGGCTGGACATTGCCATTTAGCCGTACATCTGCGTTGCCGCTATTATACTGTTGTCACAGATTTCATCACAATGCAGTCTGTAAATCCTCTAGTGATTACAAATGTATGTGAAAAGCTATAGCTTTGCGCACGAGTCAGAATGACATATATTATACAATATCAGGATCAATATCATCTTGTATTTTCATTTTTGTCTTTGTATATTTAACTTATTTTAATATTATGTTTATTATTTACTCCTGCTAAAACGTAGGAAATTGGTATATAATGATATTTGAATATTAAAAAAAAAAATTACAATGGATATCAGATTCTTTTACCAGACTTTTGTGTATTTGTGAGTGAATGCATGTGTGGATGTCTAAATTACTAATTTTCTTTCAGATTAACAACTCTGGTCATTTACATATGCAGTTTTTGTGGTATGATTGCCTTCACATTTGTCTTGAACCTGGGAAATATATCAATTGTTTACCTATGTGCAGGATCATTAGGGTGAGTTTATAAAAATATTTTCCTTAGCAGTTTTTGTGTAACCATTCGTTAGTTCTCAAACCGATGATAGGTCCATGTGATTTCAGGAACTTTTGATAAAGGAAAAAATCCAATACTTTTTAATAGTCTTTGTAAATATGATGTACTGTGTTTATGTTACATTCGATTAAATAATTCTTCATATGTGTGTGCATGCGTGCGTGAGTGCGTGAATGAATATGCATGTATGTGTTCCATATGTAGTAATCACAAGTATTATGGATCCTTGAAAATAATGTTGTGATTGAAATTATCATATGAAGTATGAAGTTCCTGATAGCATATATAGCTGCTTATATTATGAACTATAAGATCACATTTTGCTTGCAGATTTTTCATGACTGGATTCCTGCCCGTTGGGTTTGAGTTTGCAGCAGAAATTACATACCCTGAGTCAGAGGCAACATCTTCTGGTGTAGTTAATGCCTCAGCACAGGTACTTATATGGGAAAAATATGGAAAATGCATTGTTGAACAGCAAAAGCAAGCTCTCTATAGTTATACATTTTTTCCAAAAAATGCAATTAAAATTCAACGGCTAACCCTACCAACTATTAAAAACGGGCTACCAAACAAAAAATGAGAACTCTCAGTAGTTGTTTACCTAATACCCTGTGCAGACTGCAAAATTTTATTCTATACCAAACTAGTCTGATCCAGGCCTGGGCCAGTTGTGTGCTAAATCAGAGCGTACACATACACAATGCTCAATCAGGTCAGGCTTAGCACATCACTTCTTACAGCACAGGCAATGCAATACGGAATAATGCAGCGTGTGGCCCACCTCAATTTTGGGGGTTAACTTAGTCCAGACCAGCATGTCTTTAGTTTAGGATAGTGCATGCATATACATACACACTGTGAATATTTAGTTTAGGCCTGGCCCAGTCTAGTTTGATCAGGTTCTTGCAGTGCAGTGTAGTCGGTTACTGACAACGGGGTATAATATCATGTTAATGTCATTCTATGCCATTGCAGGTGTTTGGGATTATATTTACAACATGTATAGGAAAGCTGATCACAGATGTAAGTGTGCTTTCCGGCAACTTATTTCTCTGCATAGCTCTGCTGGGAGGTGTCTTTGTTACATGTAAGTATGTATAATATTGGTCACAAAGTATTGCAGTGTATAATATAATCATTCCTCACCAACACTGGCCCAGTGCCTCTTCATCGAGGAGAATATTTTCCTTGGTGTTCCTTAAATTTGTCATGGTTCTGTAAAATTTCTGATGAAACCAAAGGCAACACCTGCTGTGCCTTAAAAATTTCAAGTTGACCCCTACAATACAATTACATAGGCATTGGTGTAGTTACAATAAAACATTGCATAAACGTGTAATCGGCACCACAGTCACTTCAAAAACTGCTTGCTTGTGTGTGTATTGCATTGGCACAATTTTCATGTGCAAACCTTCTACTAGAGTTAGTTATATTTATTGATGAAGTAGTATCTGATACATGCACAATTTAGAATCAACAGTATATTATAATATAGAAGATGGCAATTCCGTTGTTGATTGTATTGTTGATGAAAAAATTCATATGATTTTATATTCTAGGGTTTATAAAAGAAGACCTTAAGCGACAAAAAGCAGGGAAAATGAACGCTGAGCAGGTACAGTATATATATATATACACGCGCACACGCACACACACACACACACACACACGCACACACACACATATATATCAGAAGTAAATAATCACAGAGGAGTCTGACACGAATTTTCCAGGGTTTTTACCGTTTTCTACTAACATGCCAAAAAACTTTGAGTCAACACCGTGTTTGAATATAATTTACAGTCATACGGCAGTAAATGGCTATAAACTGATTCCAGTGCAAGATACGTGAATAATAAAGATACGAAATAAGCTTATTATACGATTTAGCACAGTTATTATAACATCCAAATGACATCTTGTTCACATGCACACAGTGGTTGGCATTAACAATGGCAGGTAAGGTGAGCTAACTGATATATGTCCAAACCACGATTTCAGTGAGAGATACCGTTGATGAATATGGTCCCGTACGTTCTAGCTCTAATTTGCGATAAATAGGCATTTACAGTTACATTTTACTCTCATGTTGCCAGAATTGTAGATAACCAGAAGTGATAAATATTTAGGCCTACTGAAGAAAACTATCAAAAAGTTTATTTTATTATATACGAACTTATGTAACTAATCATTTGGATAATTCGGGTTGCTGATAAAAACAGAGCCTGTCTTCCACCAGCTAACACAGAAAAATTCAATTTGCTGGCAAGAATGTTAAATGGACAAACGGAAACATACGAACAAGAGGCCATTGTGGCAGGAGTGAAATCTAATAATTTTCTGCACATCAGATGTTTTGGTCTTGGAATATTTCTTACTAATCTATACGTATTCTTTGTATATTTTTTTCAGATGCAGGAAATTGAAAAGGAACCACTAGATCAGAATAATGCATCGTACGATGTTATGTTTACGTAGTCGTAAGGTGTACTGGTGTGTTGGTGTTTACTTATTTACCATCCTCAAGAGCGTGCTTCCTATGTAGGTAAATTGCTTGCGTTACATGATAAGATGTTTATATGCCTATACGTCTGGCCATGTACCGTTTAAAACATTTATTTTTTGTAATGTAATAGTGGTCTATAGTTGATTGATTATACTGTGAGCATTATAATATATTGTCCATTGCCTAGTGGAGACTATTCTGTGTTGTAACTTGTATGATATCAAAAGTTAATAATAGAGATATTATTTGCTCTTGATGATATGAGTGTAAAAGTCATAAAAGTGCTTTCATGTAACCATTTCCAAAGGCTCAGCTGCGAACTTAACTCACTAGATTTGCCAAAACACTGTAAAAACCAGTTTTTGAATGCGAGGTTCTATAGTGAAATCAATATACTTTAAGATCATTCAATCATCACTTCGCTAATACCCCTTTTACACCATGGTCCCGATCTCACTACGCTCGTACTACGCTCTAAGAGCGTGGTGGAAACGTGTAGAACGCAGTATGAACGTATATAGAGGGTGATGCTCCATTAGGAGCGTTCCCAACTTTAATGTCATTAATGTCGTGATATAAAAGAGATATAAAGGGGGGTGGATCGATATCAATTAGATATCAAGGGGGGGTT